CTGGGTCCATCTGTACCCACATCACAATCTGTACTACACAATCTGTACCCACTGTGACTTGACCACGACTATATGACCCCCCCCCCCCCCTCCCCTGGCGCCAAAGCTGGATCCGCCCTTGGTGAAGTGTGTGTGTGTGTGTGGGTGTGCGCGCGTGTGTGTGTGTGTATCTGTGTGTGCGTGTGTATGTGTGTGTGCGTGTGTGTACACGTGTGCGTGTGTGTATGTGTGTGTGTGTGGGGGGTTCGTGTATGAGTGCGTGTGTGCGTGAATGTGTGAGTGAATGAGAATGACGGTGTTCAAAGGTTTAAATGAATGTAAGCACTGTTTTTGTTTTTTAAGTATGTTAAGTGTGTGTTATTATTTATATAGAGACATAAGTGCTTCAGTTGTGTCAAAGTCCAATGCTTTGAGCCACGTTGACACAGCTTCTTTAAAATTAGGCTTACACATAGGGTAATTAATGTAGAATATTTGCAAATATTTAGAAGAAGCAACATGCAGGCCGGCAAGGTGAGGACGGCTGGTGTGGCAGGTAGAACTGCTGTATCAGCTATCTTCACGTCTGGACTTCACCGTCACTTAACATCAAGTGGGGTGGAGTCATTTGTCGGCCCTATCTATACAAAAAAATAAAAAAAAATGTGTGTGTCAGCTCCGACGCACGACCGGAGTTTACACTCTAAAAACGATTGTCTTTGAACAGACACAAAACAAAATCAAGTCCGAAGAAGTCGGTTACAAGTAGAGATACACCAAAAGCTAAAATAAAAGCGTATTAAAAAAAGCATTCGTAGATACGTGGTTCACGAATCTTGAAAATACCGCATCAATGGTTGTACCATACCTCGTTGTCCCCATTGCTCTATCAGAAACAATATCTAAATTCAGTTCAGATTTTAAAAATTTTATTAATGTCAATCCGTCATCTTTGTTTGTCAAAGTTGCGCGACATAGGATGCCCACCAAAAACGTAACGAGGTCATTCATCGATAGATTTTACTCCTCACATTTTTCTCATACCGGGCCCCTTATATATGCAAATCGATTCTTAAGGAGTAAACTCCAAAAAAATGCCTATTTTTGTACTGATCGTTCTACCGCACCTTGTTTACGGAAAAAGCCGATAAAATGCACAACCTCAAACGGCTAAATCTATGAATTAGTATAGCACTAGCGACATCCCTTTCTAACTGTACTCAAGTAAAGATCAACATTTGGTTGTCATTCTTTAATACGAGACATAGTATCCAATGAAATAATGCTAAAGGAAAAAATATTTAGATAACGAAATTCCCAGTAAGTAATTAAAATGTATTAAGTATCGCTATCCTATGTTAATATGATTTCTATTTATCTTAATTCCTTTCCGAGATAAATTATGCTCGGTGCGATAACACGATTTCTTTCCTACTATGCGTAGGTACAAAATTCTAATACCGGCTCAGACATTTATCTATACTATAGATATTAACGGGATTGTTACCATGTACCTTGTTATTTATGAGTCTCCGACATTTCGGTACTGTTGCAAAACAAGGTACATGGTAACAATCCCGTTAATATCTATAATGTTAGTGACCATGAAAGTTTAAAACAATATATTCATCTATACATTTATGATAAAATGGTAGAAAAGTCAAAACTGTACATTGAATATTTTTTTAAAAGAATACTTGGGGTGTGATCTACAATCGATACCGAAGCGAAAAATATAGTTTTTACAATTTTCGTCTGTATGTATGTATGTCCGGGATAAACTCAAAAAGTACTGCATGGATTTACTTCAAATTTGGCACGAATATTATTAAGAAGTCGGGTCAACATATAGGCTACATATTATCACGCTATCACCTACGGGGAACGAGCAGTGGACCTTTATTTCTTTAACACATTCTGTAACAACGTGTAATCTAACGACGCATTTTTTTTTATTATTCTGTTTTATTTACTTCAATAAAATGGTCTGAGTTATGTAGTTTGTGTTTTTGTGTGTGTTATTATTGTTTTGTCAGACCTAGTCCCGGGGTGACGCTATTCCATACGTCCCCGGGGGCTGGGGCTAAGGGGTGGCTGCAGCGCTGCTGTTCCTTCTTCTCCTCTTCCAGCGTCTGCTGCTCACATGGATGGAGCACTGTCTCCCCGAACCCTGATTCTGCAAGTAACATCCTGGTGGGAGGGGGTGAGGCGAGATGAGGGTCTGCCATAAAGGTGGAGGAGTTTGGTGCCGGTGCAGCGAGGTGTAGTGTGGGCCTGGTCGATGGTGACGAAAGTAGGTAGGTGGAGTCGCTCGATTCGCTCCCAAGTCCGGGTGGCCACACAGTTTTCCGTCACTGTTCCCGTCGCAGTTGGGCCCATCCCAATCCCTCGTACGCCGTTGTCCTCCGACATCTGGCGACCATTGCCCTTGCCCCTCCCATGACTGGAACTTTAACTAGCTTGCAGGGTAACGACGCATTTGGGGTCATAAAGTATGTGCAAATAACTAACTCCACGGGTACGAAGTCGCGGGTGGCCGCTAGTGTGTCTATATGGCCGGGTACTCATTAGCGAGCTGTAACCGTAACCGTTGCATGTACTGTAACCAAAAAGCAGGGTACGAACTCGCGGGTGGCCGCTAGTGTGTCTATATGGCCGGCTACTCATTAGCGAGCTGTAACCGTAACCGTTGCATGTACTGTAACCAAAAAGCAGGGTACGAAGTCGCGGGTGGCCGCTAGTGTGTCTTTAAGGCCGGCTACTCATTAGCGAGCTGTAACCGTAACCGTTGCATGTACTGTAACCAAAAAGCAGGGTACGAAGTCGCGGGTGGCCGCTAGTGTGTCTATATGGCCGGGTACTCATTAGCGAGCTGTAACCGTAACCGTTGCATGTCCTGTAACCAAAAAGCAGGGTACGAAGTCGCGGGTGGCCGCTAGTGTGTCTATATGGCCGGCTACTCATTAGCGAGCTGTAACCGTAACCGTTGCATGTACTGTAACCAAAAAGCAGGGTACGAAGTCGCGGGTGGCCGCTAGTGTGTCTATATGGCCGGGTACTCATTAGCGAGCTGTAACCGTAACCGTTGCATGTACTGTAACCAAAAAGCAGGGTACGAAGTCGCGGGTGGCCGCTAGTGTGTCTATATAGCTGGGTACTTATTAGCGAGCTGTAACCGTAACCGCTGCATGTACTGTAACCAACACGCATAGTGTGTACGTGGCTCGCTAACCTGCTGCGAGCGGTACGCGTGTGGTTTGCAGCGAGCCGGCGACGTTTACTCAAACTCAAATCTTTTATTGCAACCATAATGTTTACAGTGGGTGGTAGGTACCTATATAAATATGAGCATTATGGACCCCGTCGGGCACGCAATAGGGTATTTGACAAGTTATCATCATTCTGTTGTGTATTTCAGTAAAAATAACCAAATCAAAAACTCCATTTTCAAGTTGCCGTGAAAACGTTTTTCTTGGCAATATGGCGTCTTACTAGTGTGTGACGTCACACGACTGTTATTAAAACGACAAACGATACAATGTAATGTCACTGTAACCGGAAGTTTAATTGCGTGTGACGTCATTTTAGGCTACGTAAATCCCAAGCGTTTTGGGTCACGTGACAATAGATAAGAAAACTATTATCTTTTTCGTTAGTTTTAAGTAATAATATCAATACAATTTTTTTGTAAAAATAGTAAAAACCCCTGCCAATATTCATTATAAATACAGATGCTTACAATTGGCACTTTATTTTAACACTGTCAAATACCCCATTATTTTTGATTGTGATAATTGGATTTTTATTTAGATCATATTAACACTATCTGATTTAATTATAAGAAATAATAATAATTTCACAAAATAAAAAATGTTAATAATAAATAATAAAAAATTGTAATAAAATAACAATTATCAATTATTTGTAAATGTACATTAATAATTACTGATTTTATCATTAAAAATTCATTTACATTATAATAACATTTTTTAATTTTAATCAGAAATTCCTTTAACTTATTTATAAATGACAAGTAATTATTTTCATCCATTATTGTATTAGGCAATTTGTTATATATTTTAATAGATGAATTAAATGTGGTTGATGATGATAGATTCTAGAATTAGGCAATATTAATTTATTTTTGTGTCGAGATGTGTGTCTAGATCAGGGGTTCCCAACGTTTTATTGGTCAAGGACCACTTTTACATATATTTTTTTGGCACCACCACTATTTAGTCACTAAATAACTAAATTTTAGTGTAATAAAAATAAACTGTAATAATTAAACTGAAACTTTAATTAAAAATCTAATATGAAATTAAATAAAAAGAAATAATATCATTTTTAGCGGGCGCGCCCGCGATGATGTTATGACGTAGGCATCCGCTAAGAGAGGATTTTGATCAATTCTACCCCCAAGGGTATAAAATAGGGAATGAAAGTTTGTATGAAACTTTGTCAATTTTAAATCGATCGGGCTAAGACTTTGGTATAAGAAGAATCATAGATGAATGTCATTGTGTATAATACAAGCCTGAGAACAAAAACTGTAGTCTACACTTTAGCTCTACACCGAAGCGAAGCGAGGGCGGGCCGCTAGTCATACATAAATCCTACATACAACCCAAATTTTTTCCCCTTCTACCACCAACCCCTATTTTTACACTGCTGGGAAAGCAGCTGGGACAGCTAGTAAAATAATGTTAGTAAATAATTACATTCTCACCTGAATAAATACTAAAGGTACTAGTTGGTTAAATATAGTATGTTTCAGAACAATTGTATAATATTTATAAGGTCGAGTCTCAGTTCAAACAAATAAGAATTTTAACCGGTTTTAGGAGTCGAGTTAATACATCTTATGCAACAAAGTTGTACTTACCAAAATCCAAAAATCCCAGAAAACAGACAAACACATTAAAAATAAAAAACAAATCTTTTCCACACCAAGCTACCAACACAAGTTTAATGAGAACATAAACTTATTTAGATAAAAAAAAAAACAAAATTTTCTTCACCTATCACATCACTACACGTGACGTTTAAAAACTCTTTTTGGAAATTATTCTTGAACACTGTACGAAGATCGAACTTTGAAACTGTATGCCTAAAGATACACAGCACACAACCATTCAATGTTATCGATACAATCCTTTTATTAACACAACATAATCTGACATGATAAAACGATCATTAACCGTTTTAATTCCCATACAAATGTTATTACAATCCAACACACGCGAGCTTATATTTATGTATATGTTTTTATAATCAAACGGTTTCCTTCATAACAATAATTGTTAAATGGATTTGATTTGCCTGCTTCTTTGGATGATTTAGAAATAATAGCGTGGCGAAGTGCGGAACGATATAAGAATATAAGCAATTAATAAAATAAAAAATAGTGTACACGGATAACAGATCTGAAGCGAAACTTCTTTTCTTAAATAAGCTAACATTAGGCGGTGCATAAGTCATAGGGGAATGGAGCAGCGGACGCATCACTTATATGCATGTATATGTTATGGGCCAAGTGATAAATGCGGGCAGTATTGATAATTCCAGGGCAGTATGAATAATGCCCAGCCATATCGGGCCAAGTGATTAATTACAATCTTAACTCACCTATTTATCGCATTGCCCGGCCATTATTAATAATGCCCGACGGCTCGTGGTCCATGTAATAAGTCAGTGTTTGAGATAGCTTGAATTTATCGCTTAGACCGGGCAGTATGAATACTTTTAAAACGTTGGTACTATTGTCAAAATGACAGATGTCTCGCCTTTTTGTATTTGTTTTGAGATCTTGGTAAATAAAAAATGGTATCGGCTCAACACTTAGAAAAAAGGTAAATGTGGCTTTACAACAGTCTTTAATTTAGAACCGACTTGGTCAACCCCGACATGCCGTGGTCTTAGTCTGCCCTACCTCTAGAGTGTTTTTTAGATGCTATTCCCGCAGCGCCGGAGATAGTGATAGAGATAGAGATAGAAGACAGAAGTACTGGTTCTTACTTCCCTAGTCCTTGCATCCTAAAAAATAGGCAACCATAAATTCTGAACATTTAACAGATTTAATGAATTTTTCAAACAAACTGCATTGAAACTACTATAGACTATAGTTTCTAAATGTAGCCCTTCGTAAATTGATCGAAGTAAAACTGAAGTCTGATTATTTAAATTTTAAAAATAAATACTAAACTATAAAACATGTTTTTATTATTACTCTACCCGATAATTGATTTCATTACTTGTAATGCTCGGTCTATCTAACTAAGTATTCATTTAAAAGTATTAAACAAGCTTTACATCACTCTGCCCAATAAGCACTCGGCATTATTCATAATGCCCGGGCAATGTGATAAATTGATTGGTTATAATATCCCGCTCTATCGGGCATTATTCATATTGCTGGGCATTATATAATATTTCGGCACTGTTGCAGTGTGGCGCTGCAACAGTGCCGAAATATTGGAAACTCATAAAAAACAAGGTACATGGTAACAATCCCGTTAATAGCTATAATTTTAATCATGTTGTGTACACGTTCAAAGGAGTACTGTCTAGATTACATCAAGTATAAGTTTATGTTAAACATGTATTGACAGTATTGAATATGTTTAAGTCATATAAGTTGCACGCTACAATATTTGCCCCTACTAGGATTACCGCACACTCTCAAACTTGCATTGACAATATAATTCAATTCAATTCAATTCAATTTATTGCACTCATGTGGTTACATCGATGGTTACAAAATGTTTATAGTACCTAACATGAACCCTGTCAGGGTATCGCAATATACAGTACAGTTAAAGATAAAAATTACAAAAGCATCTAATTAATAAACAATTATATAAAATTAAAAAAGCATCTAATTAATAAATAGTATATAAGGAACCTAATTTGTGTCTAAAATAAATATCATCTGATTCCATTTGTTTAACAATATAACTTACTCAATTGATCTTATTAACAGTAGAAATATAATAGAAATGGAAATTCATTTATAAAATTAAATTAAATTTGTCAATAATTAAAATTAATAAATATGTCAATAAAAATAAAATAAAAAAATAAAATAATATGTCAATTAACATGATTATTATATACTAGGTTTGTATTTTAAAAAAATCGCCTTATTAGTATTATTTTGTTGTAAAGTTTTCATTATATATATTAAAAAGTATATTTAAAATCTAATAAATATATTTTCTTTTTAACTTTGTGCATTCATATATTAAATTATTATCTATTTGTAATTTAAATATTCATCCACAGAATAGAAGCATTTATCAATTAGAAATCTTTTAAGTTTTGTATTAAATGTGGTAATAGATTTTTGGTTTTTTATAGAATGTGGTAATTTATTAAATATCTTAACTGCCATGTAGTAGGGGCTATTGCTAAGCATGGTTAGTCTTGATGGGGGATGATTTAATCTATTTTTATGGCGGGTATTAATATTATGGGTTTGGTTAACTTTATTAAACGCGTTAGAATTTTTAAATACAAAACCACATATGTCGTGTATGTATATGCTTGGAAGAGTAAGTATTTTATATTTTTTAAAGAAAGGTTTGCAGCTCACTGTATTGTCTATTTGTGCAAGGATACGAATACACTTCTTCTGCATAACAAAAAGATCATGTGAATTCACACTATTACCCCACAGCATAGACCCGTACCGCAACCAGGAATAGGCATATGCATAATATGTAGAAAGAGCTGTTTCTAAGTTAGTACTCTGTTTAATTTCAAAGAGTGCGTATATAAATTTGGATAATTTAGTTTTAATTACTACTTAATTTAATTACTAATGTCAAACGATATTCTGTTGAAGTATTAGATGTTGGTTTATCGGATCATACATGTCAATTAATTTCAGTTTTCTCAAGTCGAAGTTTTAACGAAAAGTTTTGGTATACTATTATAAGAGATATAGGTGCGTATGAAGAAGTCTTCTTGAAATATTTAGCTCAAATTAATTTCACAGATGTATATACTCAAAATAATCCCAATGATGCTTATAAAATATTCTTTGATATTTTCAATCTAGTTTATGAACTTTGTATACCTAATAAGAAAATTAAAATAAAGTATAATGATACTCCTAACTGGAAGACAAAAGGTATATTAATTGCTAGTAAAAATAAAAGAAAGTTATATTTAAAACAAAGAAGTACTAACTGTTCCGTTATTAAAAATAGGTACAAAGGATACTGCAAAATTCTTAAATCTGTAACCAGACAATCCAAAATAAATACAAATCTAAATTATTTGAAACGTAGTGATAATAAAAATAAAAGTATGTGGCAAATTATAAAAAAAAATACATCAAAAATAAATGTTATCAAAGAATCATTAGAAAGTGTAAGGATAGGTGATATTGTAACCAATGAACCTCATGACATAGCGAAACGAATGAATTCCCATTTTTTAAGTTTACCAAATTCCATACTACGTCAAAATACAGTTAAACACAATCTAGTGTCACATGCTAACATAAACAGCATCTTTATGGCTCCAGTTGATGTCCAAGAAATTAAGAAAACTATAAAATCATTAAAAAATAAAAAAAGCATGGGACATGATAACATACCCATGAAATTAATAAAATCAAGTGTAAATTTTATAGCTGAACCATTGACCTTTATTATAAATTTGACTTTAGACACGGGAATCTTCCCAGAAGATCTGAAAAAAGCTCTAGTAAAACCTCTTTACAAACAAGGTGATAAGGATAATATGAATAATTACCGCCCGATTGCTTTATTGTCCAATTTTTCCAAAATATTCGAAAAAGTCATTTACGATAGAATAATATCGTTTTTAAATAAAAACAAAATTATAAATGTTAATCAATTTGGTTTCCAAAAAGGGAAAAATACATCATTAGCCATATTTAATATTTTGAAACAAATATGGAAAGGTATAGATGATAAGAAAACTTGTATTGGTATGTTTCTGGATATGTCAAAAGCATTTGACTGTGTCATACATAAAATATTATTAAAACAGCTCGAACATATTGGAATACGGGGAAATGCTTTGAAGTTAATGGAGTCATACCTATCAAATAGAACACAGGCAATATTATTGGATACATTTGACACTAAATCAAAAACAACTGTACGCATCTTATCGGATTTTGAAAAAGTTTTTTTAGGCGTCCCGCAAGGAAGCATTCTCGGGCCGCCCCTATTTTTAGTGTACATAAACGAGCTACCGCTGATCATTCGACACTTATGTGTTTTGTTTGCTGATGATGCGTCAATATTTTTGACAAATGACAAATTAAATGATGCTGATTTTGTGAATGAAATTTATAAAACACTGTATGTAATAGTAGAGTGGCTAGCTTCTTTAAATTTAAAAGTAAACATTGGGAAAACAAAGCTGATGGAGTTTAGGAATTATAAGAAAATGCCTTTAAAGTTAAATATTGTTATCGATGATAAGCAAATAGAGAATGTGCAAGACAATAAATTTTTGGGTGTTACCATTGATACTCATTTGAACTGGAAATCGCATATTGAGGACATAAATAAGAAAATCTCTAGCAGCTGCTATGCTATATCTATTCTGTCAAATGTAGCTTCAGTGGAAGCAGCAAAGAGTGCATATTATGGGTATGTCTTCCCACTTTTGATGTATGGTATAATTTTTTGGGGTAACTCAGTAAATGTACAGTCCACATTTATATTACAAAAGAAATGCTTGCGTAACATGCTAAAACTTGACAAATTTGAATCACTGAGAAATGTTTTTAAAGATTTTAAGTTCCTAACTCTGACATGCATCTATATTTTTGAAATTTCTGTATTTGTAAAAGAAAATAAAGACCATTTTTTATCAAAAAGCAAAGTGAAAAAGAACTTGCGATTGCAATATGCGTATAATATATGTATTTATAAGTCATCTAGTTATATATGTAACAAAAGTACCATAACAACTGGAATCAAGGTCTTTAATCATTTACCTAATTCCATTAAAGCTTTAGAAAGTAAACGATTCAAGACACAGCTTAGGCACTGGTTATTATCGAAATGTTTTTATAGTTTGGACGAATATTTCAATGATCATTGACAATAAAATTGCAATTTATGTATAATTTTGACATAACTGGTTAATT